TTAGTCGTCCGTTATGTAGAATAGATGAATGTATACGTGTCTGCAATGATGATCTCTTCAAAATCAGCAAATGGGAAAGTATTAACGGATTGGAGGTCAACCCTAAAAAGTCAAAATGTTTAGTAATATATAAAAAAAAAAATCAACACACTCAATCTTGAGCAAGTGCGCCTCAACAATGAGCCCATTGCGTATGTAGAGCAGGCAATAAACCTGGGAATAAATATAAACCAAACATTAACTTGGTGTGACCATGTCAATAAGGCAGTAGGTAGACTATATAGCGCACTAAGGCCCCTGTCTTTGACGCAGAATTTTCTTCCTATAAAACTAAAGCTCCTTATTGCCAAAACGTGCCTGACACCCTTGCTATTTTATGGGATTGAACTTTTTGGATACTGCGATGCAGTAAGTCAAAACAAATTAAAAGTAGCCTTTAATAGCATAGCACGGTACATTTTCAACATTCAAAGAAGAGATTCAATAACGACATACACCAATAAAATATTCAATCTGACCCTTGACTCCTGGATTAAGCTTAGAACCCTAATCTTCTTGCACAAAATTATTGCACGTAAGGAACCAAATTATCTGCACAACAAAATTGCTTTCACGACATCACAAAGAACGAACAACATAGTTTGCACTAAATTTAAATTAGCAATCTCGGAAAAACATTTCTTTATTTCTGCTGTTCGTCTGTGGAATGATCTTCCGCATAACCTAAAAACAATTAGCAGCGAGACGCACTTTAGAGTTAAGATTCTAGCACACTTACAAAACATTAACTAAATTAACGTTACCAAAAATTATAATATTAACGACACACTTAGTTTAGTAGGCAATTTAGATTAAGTATAAACTATCCATTAAACTATCCAATTAAAAATATATAATTATAAAGAATAATGAAAATGTTTAAAATAAAACAAACTCGTATAGCGTATACACATAAGGCATCTTTGTGCAAAATTTGGTGTCTCTAACTCTTATAGCCTCTGAGATCCAGGTGTTCATACGGACGGACCGACAGTCAGACAGGGCTAGATCGACTCGCCTTGTCTCGCTGATCAAGAATATATATACTTTGTGGGGTCTGCCACGCCTCCTTCTGCCTGTTACATTTTTCAGCTCCCGCAAACCTAATATACTTCTGTACATTTCATGTACAGAGTATAAAAAGATTTTCACACAATTAAAAGGAATTATTTACTTCCTAATTTGCCGTACATAATGAGCAAAAATAAGAAAAACGCCGTTATACACATGCTTTGTACGTGGATTGAATATTTGTATTGTGCGCGTTTGAGTATAAGTACGATTGCAGGAAACGACAACAAGAATGTGTGATGAAAATGTAAAGCATACATCATACACCCATAATAGAATACAAAATTGTAATTGTTGGCTAATTGGTCTTTCTACTTATATACTTTTAATTGTTAATGTATTTATAGTGTGCAGTTTCATTAGTGCTATTGTTAGTTGTAAAATGCGTGGGCGTCTTATAGTCTTTGTAAATCCATACCAGATGACCTAAGTTACGTGTCCACAGCAAACAGTTGTACTATTATTCGAGTTCTATGCAAGCAAACGAAGGGTCTACATACATACATATGATGGTACATCTCAATCACATCGTCTCCTGAAACAATTTATTTAAATTTAGATATTTATTTGTCAATTCCAATGTAGATGTAGTATATGTGTCTGAAACGTGGGTTGTTTCTAGTCTTAGTGATCAATCTGTATGTTGTGATGGGTACGGGGGACTGCGGTCATATACATATGTAAAAAACAGTCAGATGATTAGCAAACAGCCATTGGGCAGCAATATTGAATATCCTTAAAAATAACAACCTGCAGCAATACTGAAAGCATCCTTGTCGGATGTGCTTATACCCAAACAGGTTAAGAGATTATTTTTTGTTAGTGACACAAAAAAGCGATCTTATTTGACCAGCTCTCAGCACCAGCCTTTTCCAAACACGACATGATTTTCTTGACGTATGATATCTACATAGATCAAAGTAACAGTGTAATATCTTATAGAAACTTTGTGCTGCATACATACACGCATATAAACACGCAAAGACACGATTCTAAATATATGCTGTTTAAACTGTACATGAACATGTCTCCACTTTTGTATATATGTATTGAATAATTTGTATTTAATTAAATTCAATAATTTAATTGATAAAATATTATATATATACTTGTAATATATTGTTTGACAGTTTTCAAAAACAACTGTAGCCGAAACAACATCAGGGGTGCCCCCTGATTACAAAATTAGGAAATTACTAAATGTACACTTAAAGCATCCAAATCAACCGGACCATGGAGATGCCCCCTTGGCTTAAATAGAAAATTACAATTACATACAAGAATCGCGGCAAATATATATTTTATTATACTCTGTACATGAAATGTACAAAAGTACATTAGGTTTGCGGGAGGTGAAAAATGTAACAGGCAGAAGGAGGAGTGGCACCCCACAAAGTATATATATTTTCGATCAGCATGACAAGGCGAGTCGATCTATGTCTGTCTGTCCGCCCGTCCGACCGAATGAACACCTGAATCTCAGAGACTATAAGATATAGACAGCAAATTTTGCACAAAGATGCCTCATGTGTGTACGCTATACGAGCTTGTTTGTATTTTTATATATATATGTATATGTATATTCCTCCCCAATTCCCCCCTATGGGGGATTTTCGGAAACGCCATTCATAGTAAGTATATATAAGTAATTGGTTGTCATTACAAGCGGGAACAATAACAAATGTTGCGTCCATTAGATAGTGGCGTTGTGAGGTTGGAACGTTGGTTAAAATGAGTTGGGTTATTGATAGTGAAAGAAATATTGTGAATGAATATTTAGCCTCGATCACTGTGGTTTGATAAAATGCTAGGTCCTTGTTGCTTTCGCACATTCCAAACTCAGTAATGTGCACTGTATTTTTAAAAATATCTACAAAGTAGCACCTGATAGCAAGGATTATTTGCTGCTTAATCTCCAGGCTGATATTATTGTTGTTGTCAAGAGCCAAGAGCCAAGGTATATAAATTCCTTGACAGATTGAAATTTATACTTATGCTGTCACATAAAAAGCAGCCTTGTAGTCGACAAAAAGGTGGTCGGTGTCGATCTTTCGTAAGTCTTTTCCAGGATTTGGCGCAGTGTAAAGATCTGGTCAATGGTGGACTTGCCCGGTCTGAAACCGCACTGATAAGGTCCAATCCGTGTCTTTGGATATGGTTTCAATCTCTCACACAGTATGATCGAAAAAATCATATATCTCCATATGGCTTGGGACCGGTACTTCTACAAGTATGCCATCGTCGTCGATTGGGGTTCGTGGATCGTCATCTCCATCGGACTTGAGAAGTGATCCCTCTATAGCCTTAGCACAATCTCTGCATTTAACCCTCTGGTAGAACTTTCGGCCTTCATTCCTGTTTCTGCTTAGCTCTACAATCTCACACTCACGCCTTTCAAGCTCCTGTTTTTTTCCGTCTGAAAAGTCGCTTCTTTCCTCTCCTCTTTATTCTTTAAGCCTCTACCACAGCTCGAGTAGCACCAGCTTGCAGTGTTCTTCGGTAGGTGACGTCTGTTGCTGCTGTAGCTTCACGACACTCCTGCTCTTACCATGGATTCCGTGGTGGGGGGCGCTGGAGCCCAAGTATATTTTCTGGGATATGTGCGCCCACGAACACGAACGAACGTCGAGTATGGTGGATCAGGAGACAGCCGGGAAGCCTTGTGGATGTCAGGATGACGAAATCTGGTCCTACTAACTACCATGTTATGCGCTGCAGCAAAGCTTATTAACCTCAGACCATTGCTCGTGGTGATGTCGTGGAGACGAAATCGGCCGACTGTTGCTCCAAAGACTCCATTTAGCCCAACCTTGGTATTGAAATCCCCAAGAAGGATTGAGCTGGGCAGCGGCCGTAGGCACGGTCGATGTTAAAAAATTCGGCAGTAATTCGGATCGTTGCCCGTCTCTCGATTATTGGCTGGAAGTGAGAAATGCGACGTCGTAACTGAGCGTTAACAACGAAGCCACAACCTCAAACCCACAAACTCATGCCGTTGCGGGTGGCAGCTGTAGTATATGTCACATTTGTTTTTCTTTATGCAGCCCTAGCCTATCGATCGCATTTCCTGGATAGCAGTAATATCAGCTTTAGATTTTTCGAGAGCATCCGATAGTTGTTGAGCGGCACCAGGTTTGTACAATGTACGTACATTCCAGGTGCATATTCTCAAATCATTACGTTTGCCATGGAGGTCAACTTTGGTTCGAATCCTATCCGAGGCTCCTCTTGCATCTTTCATTGAATAGGTGTTTTTATATGGGTGGATCTCAAGTCCTACGCCACAACCTTGATTACGGTTCTAGGGAACCCGCCGCGCACTTTAGTTTGCCACCCAACGGATGTTAAGTGGCAATCCAGGAGGAACCACATGGAGTTAGTGCGTCGACTTAGAGAGAGTATTGACAAGGATCATGTTGGCAAGTTGAATGCAGTCAGTCACTTTGCCTTGTATAATCAATCTCATCCCCCCTTATATTATTATTATAAATTATGAAATAGGAATATAGAATTAATATGAAAACATTAAAAAAGATATTTTCTTAAATTTAACCAACAAAATAATGTATTTAAAACCGGCTTGTTTTTTAGTTTATTTTGCCTTGGATTTAGCTTTTTTAGCTTTATTTTTTTTATTTTTTTTTTTTTTGGCAATCTAGTTTTTGCCTAAAAAATTATGGGAGCACTGACCACAATGGCATTTGTATGGAGCATCTATTGAATATAAGTCCGATAAAATTTATTACCAATCTGAATTTTGTAGGAATACCTCATGGTTCAATGTGCAGGGTAATAATAATTAATCGATACATGTGTATAGGAATACGTACAAATCGAAAAATATCCAACCCTACTGAAGCGTCAAACGCATATGATTTGGCGCCCATCGTGGAATGAGTTCTTGTGTATAAATTTGTGAAGGCAAAGTTGAAAACATGGATATTGACTTACCGTATATGGTGGAATATGCGAAAAGTGGACGCGCTTCTTGTAAAGGCTGTAAAAACAACATTCCTAAAGAATCGTTGCGGCTTGCAGCTTTAGTACAAGTAAGAAATTTGTTATAAAATTCGGTAATTTCACGCGAATTTTTACATACAACTTTTACCCTATATATGTATGTACATACATACATATGTATGTACATACTTTCGAAGACACATCTTGCTAATTTACTTTGTATATGCATACGCACATACATATGTATGTATGTACATACGCGGGTATGTCTTGCTGCTTGCAGTAATATGGCATTATAAAGTACTTATGTATGTACATATGATGAGTATGAGTGTACATAAATTCATACATTCATATGTAAGTATGTAAATTCTTGATACAATTTCATAAATAAAGTTATGTCCAGATATGTGGACCTATTTATTTGAATCTCAATTAATGACTGAAAGCTTAAATAAATTAATTCCTAAAGTGCTGTTGATTTACCGGCGGCGACGTCACCTACGCCCGTTGAATAATCAGAAGTGCGAAGTTCTGAATAATTCTTCCTTTGCGCGTGTGCAGGAAACTGCCGACGCTTGTTGCCTAATTAGTTCACTGTTCCAATCCTTTTTCTGGGGAGTTAGGGGAGTTCCGTCAATCATTTTATCTCTGACTAATAGTCAGCCGTAGTGTTTTCTGATTTCACAACAGAGTGAAATCTATACATAAATACATATGTATGTACTTATGTACTGCACATGCAGACACGTAGAGACACAAATGAACCCACACGCATAGTTGCAATTCTGTATGTAAAGTTTCAACAGCATACATTTACATCACTATCGTGACTGCGTGTTTATATGCGTCTATGTATGCAGCACAAAGTTGAACCAAAGCAGCAACAACAACAGCTGCGGGCAGCGCATGAGCAGCGATTTTATTTATAGCTATAACTTTCTTCAGAATTGACCTATCATGATGAAACTTGGCATACAGACACATAATCACTAACGCGATGTAGTTACCAACCAGGGAGATTCCCTGTTCCAAGTTTGGTAATTCTAGCTCTTGTACCTTCTGAGATCCTTGCGCTCATACAGACGGACGGACGGACATGGCTATATCGACTCGGCTTGTCACCCTGATCAATAATATATGTATATACTTTGTTGGGTCTGCCACGCCTCCTTCTGTGTGTTACATACATTCGCACGAAACTAGTATAGCCTTTTGCCCTTTGGGTACAGGCTATAATAAATATTTCAACATACATTTACATCAGAATCTTGTCTATGTGTGTTTATGTGCTTGTTCATACATACATATGTATGTATGTGTGCAGTACAAAATTAAGTCCAAGCAGTAACAATAACAGCTGCGGGCCGAGCTTGAGCAGAGATTACATTTAGGGCTGTACAAGTTATTTCACAGTTGAGCTCGTTGACTAGAATTCCTTTCTTGTTTTTGAGGTTATTTATTGGAAATCTAACATTTTAAATGTATTTAAATGTACCCCATAACTGCATCGCCGTCAAAGTTTCCCTTTAAGAAAAAGTGTGGAAAACCATCTGGACTATTTAATTGACGTTGGCCGTATTTTGGTTAGTTACAAGTGTGCAGTTTTCTACTTAATGGTCAAATTGTTATCAACTCTAAAGCTTCATACTTCTATAGTATGTATGGTTCTTACTTCTTTGATTTACTTCTTTTTGTTTTTAATCTGTTTAGTCGGCATTTCATGATGGAAAAGTGCCACAGTGGTATCATAAGGATTGCTTCTTTAAAAAGCAACGACCTGAAACTGTTGGTGATATTACAAACTATGAAAACATACGATTTGAAGATCAACAGGGATTAAAAGAGTTAATTGGTATGTGACTATGATTTGTTAAGGTATTTAATTGTAACTTATTTTTATTTAGAAAAACGAGAGAACGTTTCCGTGGACTCATCAAAGCGTAGAAAAGGTGATACTGGGGCCCATAAAGATTTTGGAATTGAATACGCCAAGTCCGGGCGCGCTGCATGTAGAGGTTGTGAACAAACAATATCTAAAAACGAAGTTCGCGTTAGAAAAACTGTCTATGATACTGAAGTTGGTATGAAATATGGCGGTCAGGCACTATGGCACCACTTGGATTGCTTTGCGCAAATGCGGTCGGAACTTGGCTGGTTTGATACTGGTGAAAACCTTCCAGGCTATGAAAGCTTAAAAGCGGAAGATAAATCTGCTATTAAAAAAGTTATTCCGTAAGTATCTTTTACAGTACTTTTGTAAGACCCGCATTTTCTATAACTTATGGTTTCAGTGTTATCAAGACGGAAAATGCTTCATACGCAAAAAAACCAAAACTAGAAGATACTAATACACCGAATTCAAAAGAAGAAACTAAAAAGTTTAAAAAACAGAATGAATATTTATTCAAAATTCGGGATGAGCTTAAAAATTGCATGTCGAAGCCCGATATATTGAAATTATTGGAGTCTAATGGACAGCAACCTATAGTTGGCGATTCTGAGCGACTTTTAGATCAAATAGCTGATCTGTTGGCTTTTGGTGCTATTGATCCGTGCCCTGTATGTAAAAGCACTCAATTTATTTTTCAAAAGTCAGGATACGTATGCAGTGGAAACCTATCAGAGTGGACAAAATGCTCGAACTTAATAGCAGAACCGAAGCGGACTGCTTGCAAAATTCCAAGCTCTCTGAAGGTTACTTATCCATTTTTGGGCTTCGTTAAAAAAAGAACAGAAACAAGGATTATCCACTTTATTCCCCCAAGTTGTACAACTATTGCCAAATCTGTGGCTCTTAAAAAAAATCCGGATGAAATTGATGGGTACGTAACTCATATGATTAGAATAAAGCATGCTAACACCCAGAAGTAGGCGCGGCAGGCTTTACTATACAGTCGACGGATTTGTATACACAACTAGTTGTTATTTCCCTGCTCTGCCAAGCAATTCTTTTCCTAAACAGTTTTTTTTTTTTCCTGATGCACCACACTCCCCCCCTGTTATTGATTTTCCATAACTCCCGTAATTCTTCGCATTTTTTGCTCAAATTTGGCAAATACTGGGTGCGTCATCTTTTATGTCGGTATGTAAACATTGAATATCTTTCAAAATAAACAACCGATTTCAAGTATGATATATTTTTATTTAATTTGGTCCTGTACAATTTCTTGAACTGAGGTTTTCAACACTGGTCTACTCAAGTCAATCGGTTCACTAATGACAAAGGGTTTTCAATATTTACATACCGACATAAAAGATGGCGCACCCTGTACTTCCAGTTAGTGATTATAAGTCCGTATACCAAGTTTCATTACGATAGGTTAATTATGCCCGCAACTGTTGTTACAAAATTTAATACTATATTCGTATTTTGTCTTTCAGTCCAAAAGTTAAGCGCGAAAAGCCCCCATTATATAACCTAAAATTTTCATATATTGGCATGAAAAATCGAGAGGTAGAATTAAAAAATCGAATTGGAAAACTAGGCGGTAAATGTGATACTAAAATAGTTGATAACACAGTTGCCGTTATTTCTACTAAAGCCGAAGTTGAAAAATGTAACCAGCGTATGGAAAAAGCTAAAGAACTTGGAATTCATGTTGTACCAATTGAATATCTAGACGCAGTGGAATCGGATGGAACTGGCGCAATAAATTACATTAATAGTATGACGCTTTGCGATTGGGGAACTGATCCTTCCTGTCGCATTCTTCAAGAAGAAACTAAATCATCGAAATTCAAAAGCATTTATACAAAATCCATACCGAAGTCAGTGACTCTAAAGGTAAAAGATGGATTGGCCGTTGATCCCGACAGTGGTTTAGACGAAATCGCACACGTTTTTGTTCGAGGAAAGGATAAATTTAATGTTGTGCTGGGATTAACAGATATACAACGAAACAAAAACTCTTTTTATAAGATACAACTTTTGGAAGCCGACAAGAAAAATAGGTATGTACATTTATAACAAGGGGAAATAGTTAATATTTTCTGAATAAGCTAGTTTATTATACACTGTACATGAAATGCACATACTCTGTACATGAAATGTACAAGAGTATATTAGGTTTGCGCAAGCTGAAAAATGTAACAGACAGAATGAGGCGTGGCAGACTCCACAAAGCATATGTATTTTTGATGTCTGTCTGTCCGTCCGTCCGTATGAACACCTACATCTCAGAGACTATAAGAGCTAGAGACACCAAATTTAGCACAAAGATGCCTGTGTACGCTGTGCAAGTTTGTTTTATTTTTTGGATTTGGATAATCACCTATATCTCGAAGACTATAAGACGTGGGGACACCCATCCATATCATATGTGAATAGGAAAATGTGTGTTTTGGAATTTCCCTCCCCCCCTCTTCACCGCAATCACAGATTTTTAAACTCCTGAATTTTTTGGATTTGTTCATTGAAGTTTGGAAAATCCTTCCAGTTTGTGAAGTCCGTATGCCAAGTTTCAATGTGATAGGCCGATTTAACAGGAAGTTAATCAGAATAATCTATATATATAAAACAGTTTGTCCTGACTGACTGATTGGTGATCAACGCACAGCCCAAACGGTAAAGGCTAGGAAGCTGAAATTTGGACTCAAGTATCCTATCATTACTAAGAAGGGATTTTCGAAAACTCGAGCTCCAAAGGGGGGTAAACAAGCTCCAACGTTTGTATGAAAAATCTACAGTTTTCATCTGATTAACTTTAAACTTAGTTTGTATACTCTCAGAACAATTCCAAGAAAAACTATATACTTGGTTTTTTGATATTTTTTTTTTGGGCCTAAAATATGGGAGTGTTCGTGTAAAAAAATGTTGGGGCACAAAAGCAAACCGCGTTAACAGCCCACACGGTAAAAGCTAGGATGCTGAAATTTGGGCTCAAGTATCCTATCATGGTGTAGATGCGCACTAAGAAGGGATTTTGGAAAATTCGAGCTCCAAAGGGGGGAAAACGAGCTCCAAAGTTTGTTTGAAAAATCCGCATTTTTTAGCCGATCGACATAAAACTTGGTTTCTGAAATCAATAAAAAGAATACAAAAAAAACAGCATACTCGGTTTTTTAAATTTTGTGTTGGAGCTTGAATTATTGGGGTTTTCTTGGGGAAGGAAACCGCGTCAACAGCCCACAGCCCAAACGGTAAGAGCTAGAAAGCTGAAATTTGGGGTCAAGTATCCTATCATAGTGTCAATGTGCATTAAGAAGGGATTTTGGAAAATTCAAGCTCCAAAGGGGGGAAATGTAGCTCCAAAGTTTGTTTGAAAAATCCCCATTTTTCAACCGATCGACTTAAAACTTGGTTTCTAAAATCAATTAAAGAATACAAACAAAACTGCATACATAGATTTTCGAAATTTGTGTTGGAGCTTGAATTATTGGGGTTTTAATATTTATTCACTATTTCAAATGAAAAGTTTGTGTTATAAATTTAGTCCGATCGATTTAAAATTTGGGTAATGTAATCTACGTAACTAAATCTACAACTTTGCATTCAAGGATTTTCAAAATATGCATTTTACAAAAGCAGGCAGAACAAACAATACAAAATATCAAACAGTTGGGGACAACTAAGTATACACACACACACATGCAAGCAGCTGTTCGTGTAGTTGCGTGCAAACGATTGAAATAGCCAAAGCAACATGTGAGACACTAATGTGTGAATGTCCATACATATGTGCACATCTATGTATGTACATATGTATCTACATATGTATGTATGTACATTCGTCTTGCACTGACAGAGCAAGAAATGTTAATTAATTTAAAATTATATAACATTTTTAAAAGTAATTTTTTTTTTGTTTAGTGCATTTGGCATTAGGGTTTTCATTAATAACTTTATGCAGCAACAACAAATATCAAATAGTTGGGGACATCACATACACACACTCACACACACAACAAGCAACAGTTCGTGTCTATGTGTGCGGTTCTCTACGTACGGTTGAAAAAGTAAAGAGAAACATACATATGTATGTATGTATGCCTGTGTATGAATATAGCATGTATGTACATTCGTATTAATGTATACATTGGGCAATCGAAAACAGTTGTTTGATTGTAAAAAAAATAATGCTCTAAAAACAACAACTACAAGTCATTGGCTCGCTCTTCTTCTTTCGTTTTGACCATTTAATGTTAATTGCAAAGGCAAAACGCCAAAACTTTACAGTTACCGTCGCTAGGCAACGACTGAGTAAGCGATAGTAAGGCAGAAACCGAATAACGGAGCTACGCATATTATGCTTCGCATTGCGGACAGATGTATGTATGTATATGATTTGTTCTTATTGATCTCAATAAATAATTAGATTTTATTATTTAAATATTCTGCTTATTGCATTCAAACTTCGATATTTTGATGGTGTCGGTGGCTTCAACTATCGAAAGTTTTACTCTAGCAAATTGAGATGAGAATTGTCAGTGCTTTTTGATCGTGGCTCATCGCTGCACGGCATTGACACGAGTGCCGTGTTTCATATTCCGAGCTTGTGCGTGGCCGTATTGGCTCAATATGGCACGAAAAGACTCAAATGTGAATTTAAAATTAGGATATACCCTTATAATTATTCCCCTTTTATGCACATAGTCCATCTTAAAACGTTGCGTTATCTCTATATATAAAACAGTTTGTCCTGACTAATTGGTGATCAACGCACAGCCCAAACGGTAAAAGATGAAATTTGGACTCAAGTGTCCTTTTGGAAAATTCTAGCTCCAAAGAGGGGAAAACGAGCTTTAAAAAATATTAGTTCATAGTCATGTTCGTTTAACGAAATAGTTTGGCAAGTACAAAAATGTAACGGACTACTGAACAATTTTTTGTCAAGAACAGAAAATGTTCATTAAAATACCTTAAATGCCTTCCTACTGGTAACTTATTAGGTGAAAACATATGGGTAGGTTATGCACACACAAAATAAATACAATTGGAAACATTATATTGAGCCGGGTTAAGACGGGCAATACCTGCTAGTACATTCATATGTATATTATGCCATGTTCCCGTTTTCTTAAATCGCAAAACTTTTTCGAATTTATCAGAAAGTATTTCATAATTGACTTAATGTTTGCAATTTGGGGAAACCGGAGTACGTCGAATGAATGTCATAAAAGCTCATTATTTTTATAGCTTGTACCCAAAGGGTAAAAGGCTATACTAGTTTTGTGCGAATGTACTTGTTTGTTACATACAGAAGGAGGCGTGGCAGACCCAACAAAGTATATATATTTTTGATCAGACTGACGAGTCGATATAGCTATGTCGGGCTGCCCGTCCGTCTGTATGAGCGCAAGGAGCTAAGAAGGTGCAAGACCTAGAATTACCAAACTTGGTATACAGGTTCCCCTGAGCCCTAGGCAGGTGAAGTTTATTTTTTTTTATTCTGATACACCCCCCACTCCCCCGCAATTCGTGTTTTTTTTTTTCATAACTCCCGTAATTCTTGGAATTTCGAACTGAAATGGTAACTACATCCCGTTAGTGATTATGTGTTTGTATGCCAAGTTTCATCATGATAGGTCAATTATGAAGAAAGTTATAGCCATAAATAAAATCGCTGCCCATGCTCTGCTTGTAGCTCTGCCCGCAGCTGTTGTTGTTGCTGCCTTGGTTCAACTTGGTGCTGCATAGATACACGCATATAAACACCCAGAGACACGATTCTGATGTAAATGTATGTTGTTTAAACTGTACATGAACATGATCCCACATTTGTATATATGTATTGAATAATTTGTATTTAATTTACTTAAATAATGTATTGCTCGACTTTAGCAATCCTTTTTTGTGTTTAGTTAATTAATTAAATTTTTTTTGAATTTTCTTTTTTTGTGGAGAGTCCAGGGTATTTTACTATCTGAATTGCTCGACTGTAGCGTTCTCTCTTGTTTATATTTTCTGTATGGCAGGTACGATATAGCCATGTCCGCGTCATTCTGTCACATTTTTGACTTATGCATGACGGGCAGACAGGGCTAGATCGACTCGTCATGCCATGCTGATCAAGAATATATATACTTTGTCTGTTAAACTCTGCCTGTTAAATTTTCAAACCTAAAAGGTATACAAACTCAATATGTATACTCTTATACATTTCATGTATAGAGTGAACAACAATCGAAAAAAACGACGTGCCCCGGCTTTAGCTTTTCCTTTTATTTTGTTTTTATTGGAGTTAGTACAGGGTATTTAAGAGGTGGGCCCGGTGGACTTTCGAATTTTTTTCTTACTTCTCAGTATGCTTTTGCTGTAAAACAAACATATTTATAAAAAAAAAATATTACAGGTACTGGGTTTTTCGGTCCTGGGGTCGTATTGGCACAACAATTGGAGGGTCCAAGGTTGAAGAATATGCCACTTTCGATGATGCATTTAATGTCTTCCGAGAAGTCTATGCTGATAAAACTGGAAACTCATTTGCTGATCGTGCCAATTTCATCAAAGTACCTGGTCGAATGTACCCGATCGATATTGAATATGAAGGCGATGTTCCGGTTAACAATGATGTTGAAACTCAAGTCCTATCCAAACTAGAACCGCCAGTGCAGAGTCTAATTAAGCTTATGTTTGATATAGACAATATGAAACGCACAATGAAGGAATTTCAAATTGATATGGAAAAAATGCCATTGGGAAAACTCAGCTTGAAACAAATTCAAAATGCCTACACAGTCCTTACTGAAATTTATCAACTTATTCAGTCATGTGGCAATGGTGCTCTATTTATTGATGCTACAAATCGATTTTTTACATTAATACCTCACAACTTTGGAGTGAGTGTTCCACCAGTGCTTGACACAGTTGAGCAAGTGGAAAACCTACGAAAAATGTTAGATTCGTTAGCAGAGATCGAATGCGCCTATAGTCTTATTAAGAGTGAAGATAAAAATGAAGATCTTAACCCACTTGATAAACACTACGACCAACTTAAAACCCAATTGAAACCACTTGATAAGGACACTGAAGAGTTTAAAATGCTTAAAATGTATGTAAGCAACACACATGCTGCAACCCATAGCTCGTATGATTTGGAGATAATCGATATATTTAAAGTTGTTCGCCAGGGAGAGTCTCGACGTTATAAACCGTTTAAGAAGCTACACAATCGTAAACTATTGTGGCATGGCTCTCGGCTTACGAATTTTGTAGGTATTTTATCACATGGCTTGAAAGTTGCACCTCCCGAAGCTCCCGTAACTGGATATATGTTTGGTAAGGGTATTTATTTTGCTGATATGGTTTCAAAGTCAGCGAACTATTGCTGCACCAGTCAACAGAACTCAACAGGCTTATTGTTATTATCTGAAGTAGCTCTAGGTGATATGATGGAATGCACAGCTGCAAAATATGTAACTAAATTGCCAAAGGGTAAGCATAGCTGCTTTGGCCGGGGTCGCACTATGCCCGATCCCACAGAGGCACACATTCGTAGTGACGGTGTTGAAATACCATTGGGAAAAGCTGTCACGGATAACACTTTAAAATCATCACTACTGTACAATGAATACATTGTATATGATGTTGCTCAGGTCAATGTTCAATATTTGTTTCGCATGGAATTTAAATACAAGTATTAATAAGGATGTGTTTTCAAAATTGAGTTGTAAGTTTGCAAAATTGAAATGTTTTTATATTCCTTAATTTATGTATTAGGTATAATTTCAAAAGAACATAAATTGATTAATTTGTAATTAAAACACTTTATAAAATGTTATTAGATATTAAACTGAAAAAGTATATCCTTTTTTTAAATCATAATAAAAAAATTAATAAAGAATATCTTATCACTGTTTCTGCTCTGTACATGAAATGGACAAGAGCATATTACGTTTGCAGGATGTGAAAAATATAACAGGCAGAAGGAGGTGTGGCAAACCCCCAAAGTATATATGTTCTTAACAAAAATGATTGCTGTAATTTCTAACCCCAAAGTAAATCGGAAAGATTGCTCCAACATTAAACCAAAGTCTGTAAACACCTCCCAAAGTTATCTTAACAAAACCCCCCCAGAAAATATGACCTTTATTTATACAGATGGGTCTCTCAGCTCTGCCCGTCTGTCTGTCTGTCGGTCCGTCCGTATGAACACCTGGATCTCAGAGACTATAAGAGATAGAGACAAATTTTGCACAAAGATGCCTTATGTGTATACGCTATACGAGTTTGTTTTATTTTTTTATTGCCCCCCCCCCCCCCCCCCAAAAAAAAAAAAAAAAAAACGGGGGTTTTCCCGATTTTCCATTCGTATTAGTCCAAGATGCCTATGTGAATGTGTATTTTGGAATTTCCCTCCCTCTCCCCAGCAAATCGTAATTCCCGTAATTCTTGGAATTTCGAACTCAAATTTGGGAAATACCCCCAGTTAGTTATTATGTGTCCGTATGCCACTATGATAGACCGATTTAAAAAGAAGTTATAGCCATAAATATATTTGCACGCTGCCCGCAGCTGTTGTTGACGCTGGTGCTTTGGTTGACTGCAAACGTGTTTACACAGACACGAATAGATGCGCATAGGCATTCATACACTCACATAGACGCAATTGCTATGTAAATGTGCAATTATACACCCTTTACATGAGTTCAAAATACAAGGTGCGTTCCAAAGTAAACAGGACTTTTTGAATCTAGTGCCCCCTGGTAGCCCTATCTATATGTCCACGGGTGCGTTAGAATCTGCTATCTTTATCGATTGTCCAGTGAGAATTTCATGACATTTCAAAGGTTTGTTCCGCACAAATTGACTGACGACCAAAAATTGCTCTCATCGATCGACGCTTGTGACCGATTATTTGACCAAAAATCACATTTCAACCATTAACCACTCGCCGTATTCACCTGATATGGCACCGTGCGACTTCTACCTTTTCGGAAAACTGCATTTGCCCATCAAATGAAAGCGTTATACAGGCGTAGAGGGCATTCAAAAGGGTTGCACCAGCATATTGGCGGGCATACCGGCCAACGAGCTAAAACACTCGTTCGACATGCTTTTGGACCGTGCAAAAAGCTGTATTGAAGCAGAAGGAGACTATTTTGAATAAAATAAATTGATTTTGCGGAAAAAACCATTTGTTTTTTTTTTTTAAAGTCCTGTTACTTTGGAACACACCTTGAATGTTTATGAGAGGTATGGAAAATAGATCAACATTTTTCTTTATAATTTTCTTTAATTATTGTAAACATATGTACAGAGTATTTCAAAGTCGGGACACCCACCGATACTATCGATATCGATATATCGAAGTTTGAATGCAATAAAGAGAATATCTAAATAATAACATCTGTGGAAACCAGGTATTTTAACTAATTATGTTTATTGAATAAAGTGCTGATACATTAGATGTACAGTGTGTGTTTGTAATGCAGCTGCTGGAACCAGACTGACCACGCGATGACCGCTAAAATACATCTCTGGGCACCAGCGCCTGTTTTCGTCGATGCGGTGCTGCCAGACCGGGTTGTGTCCGCTGAGACCGAGTCGCCACATCTATAGTACTCCTCCCTCAGTGACTTCGTCGGTAGGAGAAGGTAACGGGATATGCTCGATGTGGCTGTGAAGGCGACATTGCTGGTGACAACATTGAGTGCGATGCATCCAGGTCTGGTGCTGGACAAGATGGCGTAGCTTCGTCATTTGTGGGGTCGAGGTTAGCGAGGAATGCAGGCTTGAGTAGGTCGACCGAAATTGCTTTGTCTGCACCGTTTATGTTAATGACGTAGACCTTGTCATCAATGCGGCGGACAATTTTGTATGGGCCGGTGTATGGTTGCTCGAGAGGCTTCTTGACAGACGCCACCAGTTTGAAAACGTGAGTAGATGTTTTCAATTCTTTTGAGCAGAATATTTGTGGTCTGTTGTGATGCGCTGTTTGAGTTGACCTCACTGCACAGATTAGCTGGCGAAAGCCTTTCATTGAAGCGGTGTTGATCAACGGGAACTATTACATTTGCCTGCACAAAAAAGTCATTGGGAAGACGAAGTGTCGTGCCGAAGAGCATTTCCGCAGGCGAAGATTGTAGGTGAGCTTTGAAGGCTGTACGTAATCCCAGCAAAACTGTAAGAAGCAGCACTGGCCAAGCAATTTGTGAATTACACAATAACGCTGGCTTGAGTGTGCGATGCCATCTCTCAACCATGCCGTTGGATTGTGGATGGTAAGTTGTAGTTCGAATTCTCTCAGCTCCTATGAGTTGTGATAACTCATCAAATAAGGCCGACTCGAACTGTGTGCCCTGGTCTGTGGTTATGGTGAGAGGGGTGCCGAAAAGGCAAATCCATTGCGTGTATAATGCTGAGACCACAGTCTCCGCTGACAAATTTGGTAGGGAACAGCGAGGGGCCATCTGCTGAACCGATCGATGATAGTGAGGCAGTAGCGTCCGTTGACACGAGGTAGCTCTATCAAATCCAAATGGATGTGCTCGAAGCGGTTATCAGGGACTTGAATTTTGTCAATAGCGCTGCGTGTATGTCGATGAATTTTTGCGCGTTGGCACGGAACGCATTGTCTTGACCAGGCGAAGGCGTCCCGATTTATGCCTGGCCAGACAAATCGCTGGTTAAGCATTTTTGCAGTTGTACGACCACTAGGGTGGGCCAATCCGTGCACTGAGTCAAAAGCTCGTCGTCGAATACTGGCTGGTAGGTATGGTCTTGTTCGTCCAGTTGATGTATCGCACAAAATGTCGAACTGCTCAATACGAAGTGTTTGGAAACTGAGAGATGTGATTGATGCCAGCTGAGAAATTTCTCCATCAGTTTGCTGGGCGTCATAGATAGTCTGCCCATCAAAACTGCTCGGCATGTTAATTGCGTTAATGCGTGAGAGTGCGCGGCAACGGCATTGTCTGTTCCAGGCGTGTGGACGATTTCTGTCGAGAACTGCGAAATGAAGTCAAGCTGGCGAAGCAGTCGTGGCGATGCTTTGGTGGCCTTTTGTGCAAACTCATAAACTAGTGGTTTATGATCAGTCTGGGTGATAAAAGGCCGACCCTCAAGAATGTGCTTGAAAAAAATTATGGCAGCGAAGATGGCCAGTAGTTCACGATCATAAGTGCTGTAGTTCTTTTCCGCTGGACGCCAGACATCACCATCCAGTTGCTCGAGAGCGACGCCAATTGCAGTATCCGATGCGTCAGTTTTTAAGGATAGTTGAGCTGACGGTGCGAGGAATGCTGCTCGCACTGCACTGTTTATTCCTTGTTTACAATTTTCAAAAGCTTTGTTTGCCTCAGTTGTCCAGGTTATTTCACGCTTGTCGTTCTTCGTTGCGCCTTTAAGATACTCAGTAAGCGGAGTTTGTGTTTCGGCTGCATGGGGAATTAGCCGTCGATAGTAGTTGATCATTCCGAGAAACCTTCGCAACTCCATAATTGATTTGGGCTTCGGAAAGTCGCTGATTGCCTGGGTGCGCTCGGCAGGTGGCTTAAAACCTTGAGGAGTAACTGTGAAGCCCAGAAATTGGCATTTCTGTGGGTTGGTGCTTAGACGGTTTTTGGGTAGTATTTCAAACGTTGTTTAAAGATGTTGCAGGTGCTCTTCGTGGGAACTGGAGTAGACGATTATGTCGTCAATGTAACAGCCGACAAAAGAAAGTCCGCGGAATAAGTTGTCCATGTGACGTTGGAAGGTTTGAGCTGCATTTCGCAGGCCTGGCGGCATGCCAATAAACTCAAAAAGTCCAAAAGGGGTCGTGACAGCGGTTTTCGAAATGTCTTCCGGCGCAACTGGGATTTGGTGGTATGCGCGTATCAAGTCTATGGTAGAGAAAACTTTGCAGCCATGTAGTCGCTGGAGGATATCTTCACAGTGTGGAACAGGATACCTATCTGGAATGGTGCGAGAGTTTAGCTTTCGATAGTCACCTGTGGTACGCCAACCCTTGTGTTTCTTAAGAACCAGGTGGATTGGACTAGCCTATTGACTACTTAAAGGTCGAATAACCCCACATTGCAGTAGCAGATAGAAGTCACAGCGTGCGGCGTCCAGTTTTTCACCAGTAAGACGTCTTGGCTTGTCGAAAACTGGGGGGCCGTGAGTCTCGATGTAATGCGCTACGTCATTATTGACGTGTGTTGCAGGAGACGTGCTTGGTCGAGTGATTTCGATGTAACGGGTAAGTAGGTCCACATACGGACGGGTTGTGCTGCAGTAGCTCTGCGCGTTGATTGTGGAAATGTTGTATAGTTTTACTTCAGTTAACTTCCCTTTGGTTGACCGCGAAGTGGTGGGATCGATGTAACGATGAGGCGTTTGCATTTGAGATCGATTAATAAGCCGTTATGCGTGAGGAAATCAGCACCAATTATCGCTGACTGCACGTTGGCGATTATAAAGGACCAGCTAAACTTGCGTTGTAGGTTGAGATCAAACGATATGTTTATGGCCGTATGTGTCAATGACTGACGTATTGGCAGCATATAATTTGAAGTCGTCTATTTTTATATTGGCTCATTTTTAGAATTGATATCGGTATGAGTGATATGACTGAACCCGAATCAATTAGGAATTTAAAGTTGGTAGAACGGTCATAGATATGGAGCCGATATTCTTTGGTAAGGCGGGCAAACGGATTTTCGCTGTCATCGGCCGCCTGTACGCATGACAACTTTTTTAGTTTCCCTGTTGTGATGTGTTATGGAAGATAAGACTGGGTCCTTCGTTATGGCGACTACACATACAGCGGGCCAACGTCATCCACCACGTCCTTCAACGACCACATCGGATGATCGTCTGGACGTTTTTAAGCGTGACATCGTGGACATTAAAACAACA